TGTTCAACCAGTAGAGTTGTTTTTTGGCCAAATTCCCCAGTGGAAGAACCTTATAACGTGGACAGCTGGAAATACTAGGATTTCTTAGTCAGTTCTGAGATATAGTACAATTTAAAATATTGACACTGTTTTAATAATTGTAACAGGATCACCTTTGGAATTGTTGTTATTCTAATGAGTGGAGCCACCAGCATGAGCCAAGGTCAGCCCTTTGGGGAGGGATGGTTAGATGGTGAGTGCTACATTGTCAAATCTGGAATCTATATTGGCTCAGGAATACTGGCTGTGCTCACTCTTGGTTTAACCCTAGGTTCGGCCATAGTAACGATAAGGCAAAAGCGAGTCAAAGAAGACACGAAAGTGCACGCACAAATTGAATGAGAAAGAAAATTTAGAATTCGTGAATCAAATGAACACGGAAACACTCAAATGTGCTGATAGAGCTGTACATGCCTTATTCACTTAGCTATCTATTACGCAATTTTTGATAGGTGGTGAATGACAAAGAAATGATAAATGTATTCATGGTCAAGCGTGATGCATATAGAATTAAATTTTTTATACAGGTTGTATGCTCGTTCCTTACTAGACGTACGAGCTTGCCTCTATCTCTAACAAAGGAAAATGATTCAATCTAGTCCCAACTGCTTCTATGGTCCTCTATTAAATTTTATCCTCGATAAATTTAAAATTTATTATGAGCTTTTACTTTGTACAATAACTTCTTGAAGAAGTCACCTTCGACCAGTTTCTTTTTAAAATTAGACAAAGCACTTACGTTTGTCTTTTATATCGCTCCATTTTCTTTTAATTTATTGCTGCGTCTACTGAAAAATCCAAATGAACTATATCTTTAACAATCACAAGACGTTCAATAATATGTAGTGATACTGAGAGGGACGGTACAGGAAATAAGAAAAAACTACGACTTAAAAAGTCAATTGATGAAACACGTCATTCAAATGAGGACAATTTCTTGATAGCTTTACATGGAGGAAACGAAGTAACACTGAACTAATGCTTGCCACAGTGACATACTGCCATCCAAAACTAATAATTCTTATCTTCTAATGATGGCACACAATGCTAAATGTTTAGTAGAGAGTAGTCAGTCGAACCTCTTACAAAAAATAAAGAAAAAAAGGAAAAGATATACGAGGACGACCGTAAAACACGAATATAGTGGTTAAAACTAGTATCTTGATATACAGTTACAGGGGCTATAAAACACTATGAACCTGCCATTACTTGCTATCGTGCAACCGGAACTCATTCTTGAGATGGGATAAAAAGATTTCGAACTGAGAAGTTAATACTGCAGCTGATGTACCCTCTGTATCGAGGAATATTCTGTCATCTCCGCATGTAACCCCCTCGGCCTTGACCACCGTGGTTATACCCTCTTCCCCAGTTATATGGACCACGATTGTCACCATGTCGACCAGCATAGACGCCGCTATAACCCGAATGAGATCTCTGTAGAAAATTGCCGGAGGTCTGCGTAAACACAAAAGAAGAGAAAATGTTAAGAATCTGTAGGAACAACATTATGCCCGTCTTTCATATGAAAAGTTAGTGTATAACAATGCTCACGAACCTCAGTGTCATGTTTCATTCGCACAGAAAATGGGTTCTGTGTGTTCCTAGCTCCATGGTTAATACGACTACGAGATATTGTATCAAAGAAATCATCTTTTTTATATGCAGGCTGCAAACAGAGGCATATAATGATTACACTATATGTTGAAGAAAAGTCAGAGATCTAACGTATAGTTTAAAACATACGTTGTGTTGTATCAATTACACCGCGCACAAACAATACTCCCCTTGAATTCACCGTACCTTGGGATCACCAGAGGGAAGCAAGCCAGAGTGATCTTTGTCTCCTGGATTCTGTCCATTTACCACATTAAGCTGGATCCCCTCTACATTCTCTCTCTGGTTTGCTTTTCCAAGATAACCCCACACCTCGTCTTTTTTAAACTTCTCATTCATGGCTTCAAAATCAAATTCTTCAGTGAATTCGGAAAGATGTTGTGACTGCATACAATCCAAACCAAACTTTTTGACACGTATAGTTATAAATTACTACTAGCAACAGACTTTACTCTTAAGAAAAAGGTAACCCAGAAAATAAATACCAAAATCAAGTGAACTGAAATTTAAAATCAAGTGAACTGACAAAATTTCAAACTTAAAATGAATTAAGAAGTGAGTTTTACTGTTCAAATATCTAGCAGGAAGATTAGAAATCAATTCATGCAAAACACAATATACACAATCACTGTCAAATTTTACTGAAAACCTGTGTGTAGTGCACAATTAATATAGAGATAGATCATCAAAAATATCCAACAGATGTAGATATAGTAGCATTATGTCACACTGCTCTGCCATAAGAAAATAACAAGAAAATTTCAAGTCTTTTACTGGTGAGAGATAAGGACCCATTGATCATCCTCTATCAAGCTGATTGAAAGTATAAGATATGTGCAACTGGCACATGGACAGATATGAACATATTGTCCAAGTGTTTCAAAAATTAATATAAAGTTATAAAGAACACAATCCTCCAACATTTTCTACTTCACCAATAGATGTTAACTCTAAACAAATAGGAAGTGGAACAGCAAAGGGAAAGGAAGTATAAGGAACAACAAAAATAACTGGAATGCCAATTGCAACTTAATGAGCACAAACCTAAAGTAAATTCCACTTGACCGGAAATTTGAAACACACACACACCTGAGCACACGCGCACACACACATATATACCAGAAGAAAAGGGCAACTTCATTGAACCTGTTGAGAAGAGGGCGGCAATGGCACCAGAGGCAGTTGAACTGCTGGAGTAGTGACCGAGGATAAGGAATTCAAAGAAATTGAACCCGTAACACCCACATCTTTCTGATCTGGGTATAACTTCTGCATCGGAGAAATTTCGGGTACTCTGGGCTGTGACAGTTGGTTTGAAGTTACCAAAGCTGGTGGTTGGTTTAACAAGGGGTCTGATGTTGAATGTAGAACAAAAGATGTGGAAGGCGGCAAACCTTGAATTGGAAGCAATGTTACAGGATCAGGAACTACATTATTACCAAGTGAAAGTTCCGTGCTGCTCACATGTTGGGAAGCTAGGGAAAACGAAGGAACGGTCAATCTATTTGAATTCAAACCTGCAGTTTGATGGGAGGGCAGTGATGACTCCATGGACAATGTGGAAAGTGAATTCATAGGAGATTTAGAATGTTGCACAGAAGTAAGAGTGGGGCTGAAATTTGCATATATAGAATTGGATGCGACAAATGAAGGACCGAGAGAAATATTATTGGACAAATTTGTGGCAACCATGGTTGTGGATGACAGGGCACCAGAAGCCTCCAAGGAATTCTGCATTAGATATGGTATTCTGGTGGATGAAACAGAATGCTGCTGAGCATAAGGAGAACTTCCTGCTGATCCATTATATCCTTGTTCGTGAGTTTGCAAAACATAAGGTGTCATACTAAATTTTTGAGTGGCCTGAGAAGGATCCAACAGCCTTATCGGAATTTCAGAAGGATTTGGAGGAGATCTGCTGAGGTCAGAACTCGCGTTCAAAGATCCACTAGCATCTGATACTGGTCTTAACGAGTTTGAAGGTCCGGCAGCATGTTTTGATTGAATAAAAAAATAAAAATAGTGATACGAGTAATGTTGTTCAGGTATATTTCATTTATCAAAGACTTCATATCATTATTCATTGTGGAGAATGCTAAATACATGAATAATCGCTGAATCATTGTGTATTGGCTCCTCTACTTCAGCTAGTCGAGAGGCCCTTTCTTGCAAATCCTGAAATTGGACATAATACACACAGAGATGCAAGTAATTATATAGCAAATTAAAAGTATTCTTATTTTACAGATAATGTTTGGGCCATAGCAACTGTCATACATAGAGATATTGCAGGGAAAAAAGAGAAAAAAAAAACCTAGTGTTAGACAGGTGGTTGCAGCTTGCCTTCTAAAAGAATAGATGATCAACGGATTGCTACATTATCCTAAGCTGGTTCAGGATATTTATAAATGTCATCAACAGCAATTCTGTCTCAAATGACTTGGAAAGTCCAAAACACAACATTGCCCCTTAAAAATTAAATTATGAAGATCTTAAATAGTCCACTTTGAACAAGCTTTTTTCGCATTGAAACCAAGCGAAACTTGCGCAGCTTGATTGTTATTATCTTTTACTTGTGGGCTCATGAAACCGAGCTCAAATGGTTTACAAGCTTATAAATTCGGATTTATTATCTCACGAGCTATTGAACAAGTACCTAACACTCCAACTTCGAGCTGATTTAGTATTCTATGTTGCTGTAAATATTCCCAACTTGTAAACGATGTTCAAGGCACATGTATAAAAGGGTAAGGCATAGACCACTTATATTTAGTGCATGTTTGAGCCCCCTTTTTTTTTTTGGAAATAATGCATTTTGAAATAGTATGTTGATGGATGTATGGTTAAAAAATAAGAAAAAGTTTTGGGTTTGCGTGAAATATTATTTTATTGAAGAATTTGTGGTTGAAAATAGGAGAGAAAAAATGTATTTTCAAAATAACGAGGACCAATAAGGGCTTATTCAATTGGAAAACTGTCTTTTAATTATGCAAAAAACACTTAAACATCCAATATTAACCAATAAGTTACACAATATGATAATACACAATATCGTTGTATTTTTATCCCATTCTCTTTTATGAGCATGTGTAAGTGTAATGGTAATATGCACCTGCTCATGACGTTATGTATTTTTTGCCCTTTTTGCATTTAACTGCCAGACTTTTCAGTTACTTTTGTGGAAACTTTTAAATTATGCTCATACATATAATATAAAGCACACATGTTACACGGCTGGGGGAAGCACACTAGTTAGCACTCCTAGATGAATTCTTTCTGTTTTATTTGTATTTTTGAGAGCTGTATTTTTATTAGTTGATATAGGATGCAGGCTATGATCAATCATGATGAATTCCAATCCTGAAACAGTATCTACAGATTATGACACCAGTGATCGACTCTACTTTGAACCTCTTACAGTTGAGGATGTTTTCAATATTATCGACTGGGAAGGACCTGATGGCATCATTGTGCAATTTGGAGGTCAAACTCCACTGAAAATGTCTATTTCGATTCAGCAGTACTTAGATGAGAGCAAGCCAAAGTGTCGAAGTGGTCATGGATTTGTTTGTATTTGGGGGACATCACCGGATTCTATTGATGCTGCTGAGGATAGAGAGAGATTCAACGCAATCTTGAAGGAATTAGAGATTGAACAGCCAAAAATAGGAATTGCAGAGTGAAGAAGATACTCTAGCAATTGCATCAGATATAGGTTACCCAGTTGTTGTCCGGCCTTCCTATGTCGTGGTTGAGCAATGGAGATTGTTTATGCGATGACAAATTTGTGACTTATCTTGAAACTGCTGTTGAGGTGGATCCAGAGCGTCTGGTTTTGATTGACAAATATTTATCTGATGCTACAGATTGATATCAAATCACTTGCTGACTCGTATGGTAATGTAGTGATCGGTGGAATAATGGAGCACGTTAAACAGGCTGGAGTTCTTTCAGGTGATTCAGCGTGCATGCTTCCCACAAAAACATTTTCTCCTTTATGCCTGGACACTATTAGGTCATGTACCACAAAATTGGCAAAGAGGTTAAATGCGTGTGGACACATGAACTGCCAATATGCCATTATAGCCTCCGAGGACGTTTTCTTGCTCGAGGCTAACCCCCATGCATCCCGGACAGTCCCTTTTGTTTCCGAGGCAATTGTCCACCCACTGGCTAAATATGCTTGTCATGTCAGGGAAGTCTCTTCATGAGCTATCATTCACAGAAGAGATTATACCAAAATACGTCTGTGTGAAAGTTGTCCTTCCATTTGAGAAATTTCAAGGGCAGATGTTCTTCTAGGTCTCGAGATACGTAGCATACGTGAGGTCATGGGTATCCATTACGAGTTATCAATTGCAACTCAAAGAGAAAAATAGCTGCAGGACAGAAGCCACCACTGTCAAGGACCCTCTTTCTTAGCTTAAATGACTTGATGATACGAACCAACGTAGCAATTGAAACTACGAAACCCACGACAGATTAGATCAAACATAAGAAAATCAAGAATTAACGTTTGAAAACTCAACCCAATAAATTATTGAATCAAAAAATCAAGACAATCGTCAATAATATATTGACAATGTGATCACAAAATTTGTGAATCTTACTTAAATTGATGAATGCCACAAAAATTTAATTCTTTGTAAGTTTAGAATTAACTGAATGAAGAACAAGAAGAAAGTAATAAATCTTGCAATTAACCTCTCAATATTTGTGTGTTTTACAAAGAAAATAATAACCCTATTTATATGAAATTCTTAAAACCCTAGTAAAAACGGAATTAAACTTTAAAAATAACAAAAAAAAAATCACAAAATAGAGTTTTAACTAAAATAGAAGATTGCGCGAAATTTGAAAAATTCGCTATTGGAAATACACTATGCTTTTATGTGGTCGCATAGACCAATTAAACTCCTCCTTTGCAGTTTCAGTTAAGGGGCATGCGCCCGCATGCCCTGAACAGCTATGCACCACATTTCTCCATCCATTGCTTAAATCAAGTTTTTCCACTTCATTTCATCTCCCATACCCAATATGAAACTTGTCCATTTGTTTGTCGTGATCAATGTTTCGTCCACTGTGGTTTGAGCAAGTAGTCCCATTACTTTTGACACGCTTCGCTTGCGACCTAGTCATAGGCCCTTCCTTAAAGATTAATTGATCATTGTCCGAACTTGCCCTCGTATCATGGATCACATCACTTGACCAAGTTTCAACTTCCAACCATTGCCCGAGCTTTTCTGGGACTTGGATTCACAATCATTGCAACTTCAGGAACAACTCGTTTTCTTGAACTAGAAGGCTTTCCAATCGAGCGAGTACTGAGGATGCCTGAAGGGCGACCTCATGTTGGCGATACAATTGCTAATGGGCAAATTCAAATGATGGTGATTACAAGTTCGGTGACAATCTTGACCAAATTGATGGACATAAGTTGAGGAGGATGGCTCTCGCTTACAAGATTCTTGTTACAACCATAGTTGTCGACCTTTTTAGTCACGACCAAGGCAATTAAGAGCATGAAAAGCAACGAGATTGAGATGTCAGCTTTTCAGGACTACTTCAGCCTTGATAAAGAAGAGGAGAGCAATTAAAGTTTGCAATCAATCTCATACTCTCTTTAAGTTGTTGTAACACTCTGGATCAGAGTGTAAATGTAGTTGATGATGTTTTTATACTTGTTTTGACCTTGTTGCCTCGATAACACAAGTTTTGCAATGGCATTATAGCTGAAATTAATTTGCTGGAAAAAAATAATTAAATTTAACTGAAAAATAATCAAAATTTTAAACAGTCAAAATTTTATTGAAAATGACTTTTGCCTCATTTGACGGCCATTATTTTCAAATTTTTTTACATACTCATTTTCAACTACGCATTAACACAATAAAATGTTATACACGTAAATTCAAAAATTTTCACTAATTTTTAACAACAAATTCTTCAAAATTCTATTTTCTCCTTGTTGTCAAACAGAGGCTTTTATAATTTCATTTTGATTCGAGTAATATTAAAAGAAAATGGAAGAAATAGAAATACGCGTCAAATAAAAAATAAAATAGAAAGCATTTCAAGAATTAATTTTCTTCTATAAAAAACCTTGAAATTTGACCATAAGATGATATTTTTTGTGTCATTCGCTTGTTTTCTAATATAGAATATTTTGTTATATTCTTTTACGAATATACCCTTATTAAATTTTCTCCACTAGTATGCAAACTTCTTGATAATTCAATTTTTTTATTAATTCCAACAATAATTTAGTTTTACACACTGAAAATTAAATACAGGTAAATTAGGAAAGATTTTGGCAAAAATTAATTTTTTAATGACATTAAATAAGTTTTCTTAATAGTGTGAAAAACTAAACAAGTCTATATAATTGGAACGAATGAAATATTATTTTATTGAGGAAATACGTGATTGATAAGAAGATAGAAAAAAAAAAATTAAAATTTAGTCAGCATCAAACATGCCTAAATCTTGTACCTCAATTAGCCCCTTAAACTGCATTTCTCTTTCTGTGTCCTATATGCACAAACCGAATCTTGTTTCACACCCTTACCCCCACCCCCTCTCTGTAGATTTTCATCAACTCAAGTTCATCTCCCAGATCCCAATTCAAAAAGATATCTCAATATTCAATCACATATTCTCGCCATCTGGTTCGAAGTTGATCCGAGTTATATCAATTTTCGGACCGGAAAGGAAATCCCACCGACTTGAAAGCTGGAGCAACTAAAGACAATTGGCCGGGAGCTCGCAATGAGCTCCCAAGGCGGGTTTGGGCACTCCAAGGAGTTTCTTGACCTCGTCAAATCCATTGGCGAAACCCGATCCAAGGCGGAGGAGGACCGCATTGTTTTGCGCGAAATAGATACCCTTAAATCCCGATTATCTAGCCCGAATACTCCGAAGTACAAACTCAAGGAGTATCTAATACGTCTCATTTATGTTGAGATGCTGGGCCACGACGCGTCATTTGGATATATTCATGCTGTTAAAATGACCCATGATGAGAGTTTATTGTTGAAAAGGACTGGTTATTTGGCGGTGACTTTGTTTCTGAATGAGGATCACGATTTGATAATTTTGATCGTCAATACGATACAGAAGGATTTGAGGAGTGATAACTATTTGGTGGTTTGTGCGGCTCTTAATGCCGTGTGTAGATTGATTAATGAGGAGACAATACCTGCTGTGTTGCCGCAGGTGGTGGAGCTTTTGGGGCATCAGAAAGAGGCGGTGAGGAAGAAGGCAGTGATGGCGCTTCACAGGTTTTATCAGAGGGCGCCGGGTTCGGTCTCCCATCTGATTTCCAATTTCCGTAAGGTGTGCTTTCTCAATGGACAAGCACTTGAGCATTGGAAGAGAGTTATTTTAACTGTTTTTTCTGTTTTGGATTATGATTGTATGTGTAATGCATTAATATTGAACATGGAAATATCAATATCTTGCTATAAAGCGTGTAGCTGAGCAGGTGGATATTGTGGTATATAATGCCAACATCAATAATTCTACTTACCCGCTCGTGCATGCATGTTTAGATGAATGTGGAAAGGTTAAATTGGTTGGCTTTTCTTTTTGAGTTGTAAGCAGAATATGTTATATGGGATATGAAAATATTGTTTTGTGCAAAAGAGGTATAGCATCATGATAAGGATTTAGGGCGTGTTCGGTCGTGCTTAAAATCCAATTAAAATTGAAAATATAGCCGTTATTGGGTCTCACTCGTCTAATAAAAGTCAACAATAACGGCTAGTTTTTCAATTTTAATCCGATTTTAATCTTCCGAACAAGCCCACAATGACATAAAAGCTCAAAAATTGTTTTATGCACGAAAAAATTTTTTCATAAAAACACTTTCATAAAAAAAAATGAAAAAGCCTATATTTTTCAAACCAATCAAAAAGGAAAAATCCAAAAAAAAAAAAAAAGTCAAAGTGGATATCTAGTTGACCATGCAGAAGTCCGATTCGTCCAGCGGTCAATTTTTTTTAACATTTCTGATTTCTGATGCACAACAACTAATTTGGTTGTCCGGTTCAGGATGCTAACGTCTGGACGGATTTTCCGGTTGGTTGGAAATTTTGGCATTTTCATTGCTATAAATACTCTCACTCTTTTCATTCTTTTTGAGATTTCTTTAAGCTTGCATTTGTATCCATTTCATTTATTTCTTTATATCAAATACTTTGATTGATTCAAACTCTTTAACCATCATTTTCATCAAAAATTTTCATCTCTCCTTTTGTACTTAATTTATTTCTATTATTCATAAAAGGGTGATATATTTCAAAGAAGATTTTTGAACTTATATTGTATTTTTTTTTTACTTCTTCATATTGAAAACTTGACTTTGCAAAAGGATCATGGGTTGATAAATTAACATAAATTTTATGGTCATACCGCACTACTAACAAAATTGCTATAGGAGAAACTCCTTTATTTTAAGCTAATAGGGTCGAAGCCATGGTGCCAATAGAAATAGGTTTAAGCTCGGCAAGAAAATTAAACTACAAAGAGAAATAGAATGAAGAAGCTATGAACGCGAGCTTAGATCTTTTGGAAGAAAAACGGAATGATTCCCAAATAGTTTAACTCGAACTTTGGGGACTACTATGTGTGTGTGTGTGTGTGTATCACAGGCGAACTTAACATAAACTTAAAGCACTCATTTGGGGAAAAAACTTGTAAGCTAACCTAAATAATATGAACCAACATACTTGAACAAAATGAAAGGATTAAGTTGGTGAATAAAACGTGAACCGATAACAGAATCAAATAGAAAACAATCAATAATGGCTGCCACATGTCATGATCTATAAATAGGCGTGTGATGAAGAATGTTATGTTGAAATCGAAATATCTTCCTCTCAAATGGCAATTTCTTCCCTCACTCCCTATCAGGCAACAGAACAAGGAGTATAAGAAAGGAAAACATTGACTGTGTGGGGAGAATTTGTTGATCATCATTTTGAGGTCAAAAAATTTGATTATGCTTCAATTTTTTACTTTTAGTGGTTTTGAGCAATAAACGGTGGTTGTTAGTTTTGTTAATTTTTCATTATGAATGATATATACTATGTCCTGGTCATTCAAGAACACACTTAGCCCCCATTTGACAACCATTTGTTTTGTGGAAAATAGAGTTTTGAATAGTGATTTTTAGGAGAATGTGTGGTTAAAAGTAGGAAATTTTTTTGGA